GCGCAGGCCCCAGCGATGCCTCTGAGCCCGAGGACCTGGACGCTCTGCGCAGGCCCCAGCGACGCCTCTGAGCCCGAGGACCTGGGCGCTCTGCGCAGGCCCCAGCGATGCCTCTGAGCCCGAGCGCCTGGACGCTCTGAGCATGCCCCAGCGACGCCTCTGAGCCCGAGCGCCTGGACGCTCTGGCGCCCTGAGCCCAGCAGACTAAGACAGGGCTTGCTAGCAGGGGCCAAGCGGCCTCAACAAGGGCCCCGTGCTCGCGCGGGAACGATGCGACAGCATGCGTAGGAAGGCTCAGGGCGACGCGCTGCCCATTTTATGGATCACTCACAGGAAGCGAGCCCAGTGGCCTCCACAAGGGCCCAGCGCTCCAGGGAACTAGGCCATTGGCACCGCGGGTCTCTTGGGCCACGTTGGCCCCTGAAGCCCCACGGTGTTCTGCAAGGGGCTAAGTGCGCCAGCTCCAGTTGCCCCCCCGCTGCTCCTCGTCTTGGAAGATCGAGGTTCAACGTTCCGAATAAATGCAACTATTTCGAAGATCGTTTCTTCCAGCGTCAGCCACAGTGCCAGCGCAGCAACGCAGGTATCCTGCTCGGGCAGCGGCCTCAGCCACCGTGCCAGCGCAGCAGCTTGAGCCACCGCGACAGCGCATCACCGCCACCTATGTGCCTGCTACCACCACACTTACCGCTGCAGCCCCGCTACCTCCACAATTCCGACTGACCCCCCGCTACTGCCGCAAATCCCATCGCAGCCCAGCTACCACCACAGTTCCCACCGTTGCCTGGCGACCGCCACAGTGGCCACCGCAGCTTCCCAACACCATGCAGTTCCCATTGTAGCCCCCGCTACCACCACATCTCCCACTACAGCTTTCCACTGCCATGCAGCTCCAGTCTTGGACGGGATCATGGTTTATTCGTATGTCCTGCGCGACTAGCCTTCGCCCGTCAGAAAAAGGCAGAGCAAGCAATGGCAGAACTGACCGACAGAGCTTAGAGAGCAGGTCAAAACTCGAATCCGCCCACCAGCACGCAACATACCATAGCGCACCAGGTCGCCGCATCGCCAACTCGTGCGCAGTGCTTCTTCGCGCGCGATGGGCAACTTTACAGCCAACATGCCTCAAAGAGCCCAAAGCCACCCTTGCGCTTGCCCACGGAGATTTCAGGGAAAGGCACGCGTGCATTCAATATGTGTTTTTACTTGCCTGGTTGTAAAGTGCCCTTCCTGGTTGCGAAGTGCCCTTCTCGGATTTTGTAAGCTGGTTGTAAAGTGACCCATCAGGTTGTACAGTGCGCTTCCGGTTGCAAAGTGACCCGCGCGCGGGGGGGGGGGGGGGGGGGGCGCCCCTCTCAAGTCCCGCGGCACCTCTGCGGAATCTAGGAGGGCCCACGGATCCAGACATGAGAGGCCGACGCGATTCAAGGCCAGGAACAAGGCAGCCATGGGGTCCGTCACTAGCGCCACGGCCTATTCTTGGCAGCCGTTTCGAAACCCGCGGCAAAGACAGACGCGAGCAGAGCCTCAAAGAGAGGGTGCTTTCTTCAAAATCTGACCAACATATTGATCGCACCAGCGGAAACCAACAACACCCAGCCGCCCCTCGAACGCATCGGCGCTAACTCGAGCGAGCGCCCCCTGGTCAGGCGGCCCTCAGCGCGCAGCGCGGCCGCTCGCAAGTGTTTCGAGCTTGCTATTCCGCAGCCCCTGGATGCTGGCCCCCCAGAGGGCCTTGGCTGAGGTTCCAGCTCTGCAAACATGCCCGACCTTGGCCCCAGCACCGCGAAGGGCTTGCACCTTGGAAACCTCATGGGGAGCTTCGACCTTGATTGGTGGAGACCCTGCGCCTGCTAGCGTCTGTCGCATCCCCCCGAGGTCTCTGTGCACTTAGCATCTAGATCGGCTGGGCAGCTGGCGGTCCTCGAGCACGCCATCCCAAGCTCCTTAGCAAAAACTACAAGGCCAACCGTATTCCAGGCTATGGGCAGATCCATGGCGCTCAAATCTGAAACTAAGGATGAGCTGCCCGACTTGGCTCCCTGCGGTCGACTTGCACACCGCCGACGGCCTGCATCGACACATCATCGATCACACTCTTCACCCACGCAGTTGGGCTGGGCGTCGCTGCGCGGCCCAGGCTCGCGAGAAGGAGGGGCCGTGCCAACGTGGTCGCTCCAGAACACCCTGCAATGACAGTCTACTTCGGAGACATGATGCGGCGGATCGCTCCTTGCCACGCCACTCTACGAGGCGCACGATACAGTGTACAATATGCACGGAGCAATGGCAAAAGGAATTCAGCGTGTCGGGCCGCATCGAGCAACTCTCTATGGGAGATGTGCTCATAAAACTTCCTGATGTCCCCAAAAAAGGGTTGCCGTTTCCAGTCTTGGTTTCGCGCGAGCATGCGCTGCCAACGCGTTGTGGACCCACGCGCTCTTATCACAGGCTGCGCTGGAGCTCGCCCCCCAGAAGAACCGACAGTCAACCGCCCATTCCCATCGAGAGCACAGCCTGTGACGGATCCTGCTCCGATCTCGGGCAAACAGAGGAAGCAGCAGCCCTATGGGGCGAACGCCCGCCCCCTGATGGCTTGTCGACAACCCCCGAACGTGCCAAACATGTCACCAAGGCGTTCGCCCGCTCCCCTGCCATTCCATCTGCAGTGAGCAGCGCCAAGGGCACCAGAGCGAGGTGCAAGCACCTCGCCGCGCGGACTGCCACCGGCGCCCCGGCGGGGGCAGGCAGAAAACGAGGGTTGGAGGGCGTGACAACCGGCCCCCCCTGGTCGTCCGAAGGTGCTGCAGAGGCAGCGGGAAGAGCCGAGAGAAGCAGAGGGGACAGGAAGACAGCACGTGTATGGGGCAAGCAGGACCCACTTCGCTTCACCTTCGCGAATCAGCGCTTAGGACACCCAGGCGCAGTGGCGGGATGGGCGCAGAAGGGCGAGAGAAGCAGAGGATGAGAAGCCAGCACATGCATGGGGCAAGCAGGGCCAACTTTACTTCAGCTTCGTGAATCAGCGCTTACGCTATCCAGGCGGGATGGGCGCAGCAGATCACCAGAGTTTCTCCCTCGCATCCGAGCGGTCTCTGCCCAACCCCAACGTGGCCCTTCCGTCTCTTGCGCCCAAGCTTTTCTCCTCTCAGACCCAGCGGCCATCTGCTCCTCCGTCTGACATTCCGTGCTGCCGGCGTGACTGACTGACAGACGTATCACTCGCTGCGATCATGGGCTCTATGGGGGGCGGGCGGGGGGGGGGCATAACGTAACGCCCCCGCGCCGCCGAGTGGGTCCAGCACCACAGACGGGGAGGGGTGGGAGCGTTGCGTGATAAGGGGGGGGAAGGGGGGGGGGGAGGGGGCGGGAAACGCCTCATGGCCCAGAGGGAAGACAAAAACGCTAGACAGCTAGGCGGCTAGACAGACAGGCTGGCTGACCGACGTCAGCGGACAACTCAGGGAGCACGTCTTGGGCCGCCCGCGGCCGTGGGTGCCCGCAGCCGCGCACACGTCGGGGCCGCGGGCACCGGCATCCGCGCACACAACCGCAGCAGCAGCAGCAGCAGCGGCGGTACTCCCCCCCTCCTCCTTCGAGCTCCTCTCGTCCAGGAGGGCAAATAATTAATCCTGAACGTTTTCTTCCGCAACGAGTTCATCCAGAAGAACGTTATTCCACAGGAACTCGGCTGGATGAAATCATCTGGCTGAATTAACCGCAGTAAGCAATTAAGAACACCAACACCGCACCGAAATTGAATAAGTATTGGGGGCGGTTTTCGCGGAACGATATCTTTAGCACTGCGCAAAAGAAAGGACAATAAATGATTCCCGCGCCTTGTCTCGGGCGGTATCCCAATGCGAATATGTAGGGCTCCCCCATAAGAGTCCCCCACAGGTCTCCCCCAGTAGGACTCCCCCATAGGACTCCCCCATAGGACTCCACCACAGGAGACTCGTCTGCGTTCAGGGCAGTTTATGAGGATGTCTCAGGCGAGGCGCTTTCAGAACCACACGGAGGCCAAATTGCGAGAATGTTTCAGGCGGTTTCCTTGTTTCGGCGGGCAGACTCGTCTGCGTTCAAAGCAGGTTGCGAGGTGCCAGGGCAACGCTTCCAAGTTGGTGGAGCGTTATACTTTCGCCGGAGAGGAGGGGGCTTTCTTAATTGCCTCTCCGGGTTAGTCCGGATGAAGACGTTGTCTGCGGATGACATCGTCTCTGGAGGAACTCGTCTTCGGATGAACTCATATTCGGATTTTAACTCGTCCGAAGAAATAAGATGGCCGGACGAACTCCCCCGATTACTTCATGAGGGCCCCGTAAACCCGGACACGCTAGACCTGGGCATTCAACATCCCTCAAATCAATGCTTCCAGACGGCGGCACGAGCAAAAAGCTGCACTGCAGCATTTCCAACATAATCCCGGGCACAGGCCCTAAAAGCCTGCAAGACCCCTCCAAACCAGGACACAAACCCAGACCCTGCAGTGCACCAAACAAACAAATGCACAAGTGCTGGAAAACGCGACTCTGCAAGAAAGGTTGTCGGTTTCCCGGTTTTCCGTGTCCTGGTTTATCTGTGCCCTGGTCTCCGTCAGCTCGGAGGAACTCGTCACGATGAAACGGCTTCGATGAAACTGGGGGGGAATGAAAGGGGGGGATAGCCAAAGGTACAGCAGAGAATCGGCTCCCGTAGCTGATTTTCCGGGCGCCACCCGGCGCCGGGAGGCGCCCACGTGACGAGGAATGGTCCCGGCCGCGGGGCCGAACCCAGCTGCACGCAGCAGAGTTCGTGACCCCCCCTTTCCCTCTTCCCCCCCTTTCGTTCGGCCCGAAAAACGTCGGCCGCGGGGCCGAACCCAGCTGCACGTAGCAGATTTCGTGACCCCCCCTTTCCCTCTTCCCCCCCTTTCGTTCGGCCCGAGAAACGTCGGGCTTTCCTCCGTCCGATCCTCCTCCTTCCCCTGTCGCTCTCCTCTCCGCCCCGCGTCGGCGCGCCTGTCGTGATCTCGTTGCGCTTGGTGCTCGCGGCGTCGTCGCACCAGCTCGTGTACTCGACGAACGCCTGCGGAGGAGGGGGGAGGGAGGACGGACGAGGGGGCTCGGGCACTCGACCGCTCTCCACAGCATGCTTGAGGGAGGGATCGGGGAGGAGGGGAGAGAGGAGGGGGAGCAAGGGATGGGGCAGCAAGGAAGAGGAGCGAGGTCTCCATGGGACTCCGTGAGCGCTGCAGGTGCGCAGCAGGGAGGGGGAGCGAAGGGGAGCAGGATGAGGAGGGGGGTGAGAGGGAGGAAGGAGACGTCAGGGAGGAGGACAAGGAGGAGTGGCTCAGAGGCAAGAGGAAGGAGCAGCAGCCGCAGCAGCTGAAAGATGAGCAAGAGGAAGGCCAACAGAACGGCAAGCCTATCCACCATCGTGCCTGCACGGATTGAGCGTGTTGGAATGCTCGTCTGCTGTCTTGGAGGTTTGAACATGTCTTCTGGGGCCCTTTGCCCCCCCGGCACGCGCGGGGTCTTGAGACCATCCCCCCTGAAATTGCAATTGCTCTCTGGCGGTCTCTTCGGCCTCAAGATGACCAAGATGACCTCGGGATTGGGCCCGTGGGAGTTCAACTGCTGCTGCTACTCGCCCGCAAGCCTCGGCCTGCCTTCGCAGTCTAAGGGAACGCTGGGGAGAGAAACCTACTCTTCGCCAGACCGTCTGATGCCGCCCGTGGCACACGGAGGAGGAGCAGGGGGAGGAAGAGAAGGTTTAAGTCGGGCCTGTCCCCCTACAGGGGGATCTGGGGTGAAAAGTAAGACATATTCGAAACATATTCAAAAGATGCCCCAAAATACTAAAAGCCAAAAAAAGTCCCCATATGTTTTTGGCTATTTTTGAATGTTCCCCCTGTGGAGGGCCAGGCCCCGATTGAGAGGAAGCCGGGGCCACGGGGCTGCCTTCTGCTCCGCGTCGCCCTCGGACGCCACCTCCGCGGGGGGGCGCGGAGCCCGCGCGGGGGTGGGGTGGGGGGGGGGCAAGGCTCGCCCTCGTCCTGCTCCAAGGGCTCCCAGCTTCGAGCTTCGCGCTGCGCGAAGCGCGAGGTGCGAAACACTTCGCGCTCTCGCGCCGCCTCCAAGGGGAGAAGAGGAGGAAGAGGAGGAATCGGAGCCGAACCGCGAAGCGCGAAGAACTTTTCGCCTTCGAGGGCGCCCTTGTGCTCTCGCGATATTGAGCACCGTCTAACCGATCTCCATCCCCACCAGCGTGGGCTGAACCCCACTGGCAGATTTGCCCCCCTGATGGGGATATAGGCTGCTCTCTGCGGGTTTCGAGGGGCATATCCCGGATGTCCCCCACTGAGGTGGTGAGGCGGTGGGGCTCGAGATGTGGATGGGGATGGGGATAGGGATCAGTTAAACGATACTGAGATACCCAGCGTGTTGCGCGGGCGTCCCGACCGCTGCACCGGAGCCGGTCCCAGACCCAGTTGGGTTCCTTTTGTTGGGGCCATTTCGGCTTTCTCGGCTTCTGTTTGTTTTCTGTTGCTATGATGGAGTTTTGTTGGTCATTCTGGCTTCTTCGCCTTCTGGTTTTGGACATTGTGGCTAATGACGGAGAATATTTAACGACCCTCGGCCTCGAGGTGCCCTCAGACCGTGAAAAACGATTCGGGATGAAAAGCTCGTCACGGGGAGTGGTTCGAGACCTCTGGGGGTCGACGTTATGGAAAAAATTGCCTCAGGGGTATGATTTGTTCTCGCCGCTGATCCATTTTTGATGCGCCCGGGGCACGGGAACGGCCCGAGAGACCGAAATCGAGGAACAACTTCCGCATTGACAAGTGGATCGTCGGAAAATTTAGTACCCGCTCCAGTCGCACCGAGGTGCGAGCAGAAATGGGGACCTGAAGATCTGAGGGGCAGCGGTAGAGGGAGACTGGCACAGGGGGAAACCATCGACCTGGGATCGGCGATACATCGCCGATATGGCGGCGACAGGCCGCCGACAGCGACTCCGCGCGTTCCTGGGCGGGGTGGGGCTGTCAGACCCCTATCGGTGACCAGTGGGCGACTGAGGGTCGATGCATCCCCCCCTATGCGTCCAAGAGAGGGGGGCGTCCAAGAGAGGGGGGCGTCCGAGAGAGGGTCGGGAGCGGCCAAGAGGGGGGCGTCCAAGAGAGGGGGGGCGCAAAATCATGGCCGGCGGCACGTGCGCGGCCCAGGGGGGGGCCCTGGACGTATTGAAATAAGAAGAGGCGCCATGAAATCTGGGGAGATATCATGGCCCCCGCCATGATCTCCACCCCCCCCTAGTCATCACCCCCCTCTTTGCCGCCCCCGAACAAATGCCCCTGACTCGGACTTCGTTCGGTTCCCGGGCCATGTCTCAAGCCTCAGGCGCCGTGTGTGGGACGATCCGGGGCACCCCCAGCACGCTCCGGGCGAGGCGCAGCCGCTGGAACGCATCCCGAGGCTGGAAAACCGCCGAGAACCAACAGAACCTCCCGAGAACCTCGAGCCCGCAGACTCCCCCCCGTACGCGTCGGTCGGAAGAAATTGAAGGGGCCCCAGGACACACAAATAAATACACACAAATAAAAAGATCCCCCATACTTTCCAATATTTGTTGGGTTTTTGTCTTCCCCCCCACTTCCCATATTTCTGCATATTTTCCTCGGAGTCGACGATTAATTGTGTCTGTGTGTCTCTTTCCCTCCTGAGAAATGGGTATAAACATGAAGTAAGAAGGCGCTGGAAGCAGACTGGGCCCCCGCCCGCCCCCTTCAGAGAAGGGAAGATGCATAACCGCTCGACCCTTTGAAGCAGCAGGGCGCTTGCAATAGACTGGAATCCGGGAGTCCAAAAGTTCGCACGTTCAGCGACCGGCGTGTTTTGGAAGAGGGAACAACAACTGCATAAACATAAGCTTTTGGCGCTCCAAGCGGGTTTCTTGGGCCCGCGCTGGACCCCCCTCCCGGGCGCGCGGAGCGCCCAAGGGGCGGCGCCCAGGGGCGGCGCCAGAGGCGCCCCCCCAACGTAGATCCAAGAGCGCGGAGCGCCAAAAGTTGTTATTGTATGATTTATTTTGTTCTTCGATGTATGGCCATCCCCCCGATCGCTGCCCCTCACTCGGGGGCGGCCAAGAGGGGCGTGTCCAAGAGGGGAGGGCGCAAATCGTGGCCAGCGGCACCTGCGCGGCCCAGCAGGGGAGGCTAGGGTCAGGGTCGCATTGAAATGAAAAGAGGCGCCATGAAATCTGGGGAGATATCCTGGCCCTGTGCGTGCGTGGTGTGTGTGTGTGTGTGTGTGTGAATGTGTGTGAATGTGTGTGTGCGTGTGCGCATAATGTCTGCGAGCGTGTTCGCGCGTATATGTCGGCGAAGTGTCGCCGCCCAGTCAGTCCGGGGCGCACCCCAAGCGACCCGGATCGGCGGCACTGGCCGAAGGCCACTATAATCTGTAGGCGGCGAGCCAGGGGGGGAAATGAGAAGGGGCGTGCCTTCTCAGAAGGCTCGGAAGTCCCCCGGACTTCTGAGCAGTTTTCTAAGCCTTCCCCGAAGACAGAAACAACTTCTAAGAAGGCGCGAGGGCTTCTGAGAAGTCCCGCCGCCTTCTGAGAAGGCCTTCTCCTTCTCAATTCCCCCCCTCGCTCGCCGCCGAATCTGGGGACATCTCATGGCCCCCCCTGCCCGATCGCTGCCCCTGACGACTGCAGGGGGCCCGCGAGGGCCGGCGGGGGCGCCCGGCGGGGCGGTGGGGCCTCGGGCGCGGCGCGGCCGCCCTGCGGGGCCGCCCTGAGCAGGGGCCCCGGCCGTGCGCCAGGGCATGCCGCGGAGAGACGCCGCACAGGCGCTGGGTCGGGCAGGTCCTCCTACAGGCGGATTCTGGACGAACAAACACAAGCATCGTCGACACAAAAAAAACAGCTGAAACAAAGAATCGAAGCATCGTTCACAGACTATGTTGTTGGACTATGCTTGACTATTTCCCTTGTGGAGGGGCAGGCCCGACTTAACATCAGCATGGAAGCGGGGGGGCGGGAGCTCACAGCGAGCCCTGCCCGTTCTTGGCAAGGCCCGCTGTCAGCGGCGCCGTGAAGCAGAAAATCGACCCTCATCAGAAGCACCCCGGCAAGCGAAGCCGTGTAGTAAACGCACCCAAGGGAGGAACCGAACAGGGCAGGACTGTTTGGGAAACGCCAGGGGCCGTTCCGTAAACGCCACGTGTCGGGGTCGAGGTCTAGTTTGTCCTCCCCTGCATATGCTCCCTCCTGAGGCGAAGCCAGGACGAGGATAAATTCCGGGAGAGGATAAATCCGCCGACCCCTTGGGGTCACGGCGTGAGGATGCTCCAAAACGTGTCTAGAGGGGCCTCACAGGCTGTCCGGACAGGCCACGCGGGGCACGATTGCTGCCGCCCCCAAGGGTCGGCGGTGTGGCGTAAGCAAATGAATCGAGTCTCTGAGATCCGGCGGCTCTGGAGGATGTCTCGGGCGCCGCGGCCTTCTCAGATCGTCCCGGAACGCTCTGAGAACGTTCCTCGTCCCAGCCCCACCCGTCCCCTCCCCCTGCCCTCCCTTGGGACGCATAAGGACATATACTGGTATGATGTGCCTCTGTTAGAGACACACGTCCGACCTGGACAGAGAGCACAACCTATTGCAATGCATCGTTTCCCGAGCGGCGTGGCCAACAGCGGGACGGCCAGAATTTCCGGGCGTGCGCGTCCCCCTTGCATGGCCGACGCGCATGGTACAGTCAACCCGTACAGCGTACAGAACTGATGCGCGGCAAGAACAATGCAGGGAGGGGCCTTGGAGGGCCATGTCGACCCTAGGCCAGCGGGGCACGGCCAGCGAGAGCGGCCCAGGATGGGCCGAGGGGGGAAGGACGCAGGGGTGACCTTGGGAAGTCGCTCATCCTGATTATGCGGGCTGATTGTATGTCCACTGGAGAGAAGAACAGGAACCCAACAAAGACAATCTCGGAGGACCCCCCCGGACAACCCTTCTCCTGTCGATGCCAGGACGACAGAGCGCCCTAGCCTGGACAACCCGTTGGCCAACCCGGCGGAGATCCGGACAACCCCGACTGGACAACCCCCCTGGGACAAGCTAGGGGACCACAGGGTGGGGCTCACTTCGCTCGGGAGCCTCCGAGCGAAGTGAACCCCACCCTGCCCCTCAGAAATCGTGGGGGGTAGGGGTAGGGTTAAGTCGGGCCTGTCCCCCTACAGGGGGGTTTTCGCCAAACATTTTTTTAATACCCCAAAAAGGTCAACAAGTACTCAAAAAACAGTCCCCAGGTTATTTTTGGAGTATTGTTTGACTAGTCCTGGGGAATTAATTATTTTTGTCGAAAATCCCCCTGCAGGGGGACACGCCCGACTTAAGGGTAGGGTTCGCATGCGGCCCCCTACAAGCCTTCCCGGGACATATTCCGCGAGACGTCCTGGGAAAGGTTACCAGCACAGAACATATCCCTATCCCTATGTTGGGCATCGCCTCATCAGGATGGCGATCTTAGGGATTCCCTCAGCTTCTGAGGGTGCACCCCTGAGATTGTCATCGCCTTTTGGCGTGCCAATCTGGTGAGGAAGAAGAGAGAGGAGGAGGAGGAGGAGGAGGAGGAGGAGGAGGAGGAGGAGGAGGAGGAGGAGGGAGGAGGACGAGGAGGACGAGGAGGAGGAGGAAGAAGAGAGAGGAGGAGGAGGAGGAGGAGGAGGAGGAGGAGGAAGAAGAGAGAGGAGGAGGAGGAGGAGGAGGAGGAGGAGGAAGAGGAAGAAGAAGAAGAGATTGGAGGAGAAGGAGGAGGAGGAGAGGAGGAGAAGAGGCATACGTTCGAGGCCGGTGAAGAGGGAGGG